AATTAATTTTAAAAATTACCTAGGGCCTCCCTGGTGGCACAGCGGTTTGAGCGCCACCCTGTGAAGCTGTCCGCAGCCTCTGCAGTGTGGGTTTGATCCCCGGCCGGCCAGGGAGATTGCCACATGACGTGGCAGACCTCTCCTGTCTTGCCCGCTGCTCCCCTCAGCAGTGCCTTCAGTCCATCTGCTTGTTCTGCTCTCCACTCTGTCTCTGGTGAATACTCTCACCCTCCGCAGCTCTTGCCTATACCCCAAAGTGGGGTACAGAACAGGCAGACAGACTGAAACACACTGCTGAGGGGAGCAGCAGGCGAGACAGGAGAGGTCTGCCATGCCATGTGGGAATCTCCCTGGCGGGCCGGGAATCAAACCTGCAGAGGTTGTGGACAGCTTCACAGCACTATGCTCAACCTGTTGCGCCACCAGGGAGGCCCAATAAATAAATCTTTAAAAAAAATAAATAAATAAAAATAAAAATGAAAAAATTACCTAGAGATTCAATGCAATCAATTAGTAGGACGAAAAAAAAATATTCAATTAACCAGGGCAGGAAATGGCAAAACCAGTGGAGATTTATTTTCTTCCATTTCCCCAGGCCAGTCTCTCTTGCTACACTCAAAACTTACTGTTTTGTTGAAAATTAAGTTCATTTCCCAAACCAATCAAGCTGTGTCTCCCAGACTTCACATTCTAAGTTCCCTCTGAAGTGACTGTCTTGACAATTTACAACATCTCAATGCTTACCTTTGAAGTTTTTTAAAGTGCCCGCTAACTTCCGTCACATCATCTCCCTTCACACTATGTGCTACAGATCGAGTCCTGCAGCCACCCTGGCCTCCCTGTGAAACAAAGCCCTCCATGCAGACTGCACTCCTGTCCCGCCACCCCCAGGCCTGGGCTGCGTCCAGATGGAATCAAATGTGCCGGGTCTTGTGACGGACTCAGAGACTAAAACAAAAATGCGAGCGCCGCTCTCCATGGAAGAGGAGGGATGGAGGATGGGAAGCCAAAGCTAAGACGATTTCAAGGAGCTGCTTTGAAAATAAGACCATGCTGCAGAAAGCAAGCGCAGGTAACAGCTAAACCATCAGCTACGAGAGCAACAGAAGTGAGATGAGGAGGGGGCCAGAGGCAAAAAAACAGCGCGCAAGGCCCCACCAGCCCCGCTCCCCAATGTTGTGCGCGTGTGGGTTCAGGTGAATTTAGGCAAGGGCCTCTCACTCCGTAAAAGTGGAGCGCTGGCTGGGCACTGCTGCAGGAACATGGCCCCAGAGGCTGGGCCAGTGTTCCCAGAGCACCACTCAGAATAGCTCAACTGGAAAGTCCCCACATTTCAACAGCAGAACCTGAGCCACCTGAAATAGTATAGCGGTGTCAGCCCACAGAGCCCTCAGCACACAGCAAACCCCAACGTCACCAACAACAGGTGGGATGACGCCAGACCAACACGGGAGAAGAGCGGCTGTGTGGCTCCAGGAGACACAGCCTACAGCCAGCAGAGACGCAAACCTCGCAGTGTTCACAAGCAAACCTCACAAGGCCACATGTGAAGGGCGCTCACAAACAATCCAGAAAGCTCTGGAATTTATGTGAAAGAGCAGAAGCCTTTGCAGTTAAATCCCTAACCCACCTGAGTAAATCAACCTGCTTCCACACGTAATAATCTTCATAGCTAATGTGATTGTGTTTATTTTAAAAACCCCTGGTCTATGAATTTAGACGCACTGACAGTATCCTGAATTAATGCAAAATCTAAGGTATTTTTTCAGAAATGCTTCTGTGTTTCTTTAGAGGCAACAGCATGGTCTACGTTGTCATGAGCAGCAATGAGCTGGTGTCAGGACACTGCGGAGGGCACTGTGTCCCTCCCCAGCACACCCTGCAGGGTGCCTCCTCAGGCGGGCCTTGTGTAAGCACCTAATGCTCAACAAAGTAAACTTATGGCCAGAAAAATAAACTCCAGTGTTAGGAGTCAGGAGAGCTTCAGGAGGGAGGAAGGATAATGATGGGGTGGGGGGTGGGGGGCCCCAAAGGGGAGCAGTGTCTTTCAAGGCGCTGGAATCTCCTGTTTCTTCTCAATCTGATAGTTCACTGAGAATTTCCCTTAGGTTTGGTATGGGTTTGTTTTTTTGTTTTGTTTTTTTGTCTACGTGTTATACTTCACAAGAAATGACAAATATAAAGGAATCCTGGGCTCTCACACACTCCTGCCCAGGAAAGGCTGGGAAGGAGTAAGAGACTCCTACCGGGACACAGGCTGGGGCCTCGAGGAGCAGTCAAATGTCTGCTTGCGGAAACAGTGGCAAGTCTAGAATCATCTGAAGGCATGTAACATTGGCAAGAAACTGAATCTGCTCTTGGAAACAAACATGAACTGGGTACCATTTCTCTCTTACCAAAGACAGTACTAATCTGTATTTTTTAATCTCTATTTCAAAAGCAAACACTGAGAGCTGAGAAGTGCAAAGAGCGCAGATGTTTACATCACCCTGGCTTCCCCCTTGCAGCAGTCACAGGACTGACAAGGGATTTGTGGCCGCCAAATGGACACGAGGGCCGCATGAGCCACTTCAGAGCTCCCGCAGGGAACCACACTGCAGCATTCCTCGGTCTCCATGGCAAAGGGCTCCACCTGGACCACAGCCACCGCTGCCCTAAGTGCACGTCCTTGCCCTCCTCCCACCCCACCACAGACGGGTGGGAAAATACCCTAAGCAACTAGTTAGAGAATCAGATGATGTTTCCTCAGCCCCTTCAAGCTCAGTTATTTTGTTCCTTTACCCATTCTACCTCTGAACATGGTCATGTTCTCTTCATCACCTTCTAGGGAGCAAAACGCAAAACTTAAATTTTGTTTCGGTAAGATTGTAGCAGGTTAAATAATGTGAAGTGCAGTCTTTAAAAACACAAAAACTTTTACATGATGCAGAATTATTCGTATTAATTTTAAAAATAAGAAGGCAATTTCTAAAACCACAGAGAGAAAGATATCTAGTCTCAGAGACAAGTGTCTCCAATGTTAAAGTATTACTCCAATATGAAGCTATTTAGCTGATGGATGGGCAGGGTAAGCAAAAGGCCCAGAAAGTCATTTCAAACAATCCAGGGGCTCTAACAACTTGCAAACACCCCCAAACCCGCCTCACGTGTCAGCTCGACACAGTAGCTGATTCGAAGCAACGGTGCCAGGCTCTCAGATTGCCACAGATTTCAACCTCAAAGGCTCACCCTGCCGCCTTAGGTTGCATACCCCAGATGTCACGCCGCCTTTCCCCTCGAGCCTCGGCACTGGTCCTATTCCTTGCCTGGGCTTCCCGTAACTGTGAGAGTTGCTGAATGATTTGTCTTGTTCTCTTACCCTCTACACATATCAGCTGGCCATCCACCCACGTCCTCCCAACAACCGCCCAGTCATTTGTCCGGGTCTGTGCTCCAGACTGTCCGGGACATTCAGTGGGTTGCCACCTCCCCCCGCCACCTCTCTATTTAGCACTCACATTCTCCCAGATTGGGCCTGTGGGAGCAAATACACTGTGTCCCGCTAACTGGCCCATCTCTCTTGCCTACCTCCTGGCGTCCCGATGCAGGAGATCTTCTAGGCTCCAGCTCCAGAATCCCTTGAGTCTCCCATGGGCTCTGATTTCTTTACTAGAATGTTACTACAAAACCAGCATTGGACACCAGCTGCTCATCGTCTCTCCAGGGTGACTTCCCAGGAGAGAGAGCGAGAGTGTGTGTTTACACACATGGACACCCACCTTCTTTTCTGTGTCTATCTACATATACTGAAAATCGTGAGTTCACAGTACCAGCACCAATCCCAGCTGACTCCAAATGCTAGAGGGAGTTGTATATATTATATAGATGTTATATAGATGTTATATATACCCTAGAATACATGTGTATGTTGTGTATTAAAAATACATGTTATATAAATGTATACTGTGTATATATTATATAGATTGTGTATTATATATATAACACATGTATTACATATAAATAAAACACACATCTGACTAGTGTGAAAAAGTGACCTTGCTTGAGTCACTTTAAATGGAGCTAGAGCAGCCGTTTCTCTCCAAGAAGCCAGCAAGAATGGGAATATCCTGGGCCTCCCCTGGTGGCGCAACAATTGAGCGCTGGGTTGCAAGGCTGCCCGCAGCCTCTGCAGCGCCAGTTTGATCCCCGGCCACCGGCGAGGGTCCCACAAAAAAACAAAAAAAAAAAGAATGGGAATACCCTGTCTGAACGGACTGAATGGAGTGGATCTGCGCCTACTTTCACCTCTGACCCCACCACCCCATGATCACTTTGCCCATGACCTTATCCTCCTTCTTCCCTCTATAAAATGCTCCTGATGCTGGCCACTCCTCAGGACAGGTTTTCTTTCTCTACTTCAACCTGGGGACTTCTAACTGGGTTCTTTGACCCCAGGTACGCTGGGCCTATTTAATGGCATCCTGAGTGTTAGGCGACACTAGCATATGTGACTGACCTATTTCCACACATGAAAACTGGCTGCCATCATACGATACGTTTGCCTACTTTCACAGCACTCTGTACGTCCCGTGCTCCCACGCCAACCGTGCTGCTACCTGGCCTGGGTGAGGTGCCTATTGGCACTGACAGAGCAGCCTCTACTCATGGTTCCACTTTCCCACCCCCACCGTCCTCTACCCTGTCAGCCTGACTTCTGTCACTTTTCTCTCCCTTTCTGACCTGAACTCCCGGGGCCCAGGAGGGGGTTATCAGCGAGACTCAAGGTAGAACCTTCTACAAATATTTGAGTTTTAAAATTACACACACATACTATTTTGATACAAAGTACAATTAAAAACAGATTTGCAATTGAAATATGTACAGCCACTGTGACAGTGACGGCAATCCTCGCTGAGGAGAAGCTGCGGGAGCCCCGCTGGCTGCTTCTCCTGTAAAGCCCGACGCTGCTCTTTCAACAAGGCTCACTTTTTCCCACAAACTGTTTAGAAGTATTTGCTTACCTTAGCTGATTTTTGAATAACTAAGCCTCCATCCAGCTCGAAAAGAACCAGCATGTTGTACCCAGTCTGCGGTCCATGTCCACGAGGCCACCAGGTTTCTACATTAATATTCTATTAAGAAAGAACAGAATAACCAATGATTTAGATGACTGTGTTAACCTCCAATAGAGTCAAGTACAGAAATTCTAGGTACTGAAGCAATATAAACCTCCCTCCCTGACTCATGCCAAGTCACACTAACCCATAGCTGGTTCTTGAAAATCAAGATACTAGGACATTAGTACGATTAATACACCAACAGGGAAGGGAAAGAGCAGGATAACGTGTGTTTTCAGAAACACAGCTCTTCCCATTCCTGACACTCAGTGTTCTACATTCTCAACAATTCAGCTCAGGTGCTGAGGCTGACTCTTCTTTCCAGCCCAGAAGTAGAAACCGCTTTGAGTTTTTACTTTATCTAAACAATTACTGAGAACTGACTTGCTCCAACCTTATCAGCTCACAATTATCAATTAGAGGAGTGTAAAAAGGGGGAAAAAAGATAAAACCCAGCCCACATTACCCATGAAAGATCATGAGTTTAGAATTAAGAATTCTGTGTTTAGAATAAGCACCAGTATTCAAAATAACTTACAAGTACCAAAAATTATCACTACAACCTAAATACAATTCTCAGTATGGATTGGGATAGTGCATATACTGCAAAAACATTTATGTGTGTGCATATACACACATATACATACATACACATACACACACATATATGTGGTATGTATACACAATGGAATACTACTCAGCTACTAAAAAGGTGGATTCTTTCCATGTGTACATATATGTGTGGTGTACTATATATGGGCGTTGTATGTATTCTATGCATTATACATATATACATAATATATACATACATACACAATATATACGTATATAAAATATATAACATCTATATGTGTTACATATATATATATATATATATAAATAAAACCACACCTGACTTCTTGAGAGGAAAGGATTCCAAATTGATCACATATTCTCCATCTTCTTAATTCTGACGTTGGGAAATCATTCCTTTGTGCGCACACACAAACATAAATTAAAAATGGGGGAGAAGTGGAAAATGTGCATTTTTCTTTCATACCTGGCCTCTTAGTTCACCAAGCTTTTCAAGTGCTACTCAGGATGTCCCATCACTCACCTTGTCAATTTTCACCAGTAATTGCAACGTTCTTTCCCCAGGCTGAAGCTCAATGGTGTGTCTCTGCTGTGTTTGCAGTTTGGGGAGGGATATGGTCACTTGGCCACCGACTGGCTTGGGGCCAACAACATCAAAAGAAGACTCTATCTCAAGATTCCACTCCTGGGCATAGTCGTCTGAGGCACAGAGAGAAGAAACTGTGTTATCTCCCTATATAATATGCTGAGCATTGAGGCTGAACTTTCGGGGGTTCTTTCAAGACCAAGCTGAATGACAGGATGCCCACCCCCACCTGGTGTCCTTCACCTTCCTTGCACCTCACAGAGGGGTGCCCTGTGAGAACCACACTGCAGCCACCCTGGACTGAAATCTGTAAATGAGAGAAAGAAAAACCAAAAGAAAAGGTACCTCTGGCCTTTCAGAATCCCAAGTCCAATACAAACACAATGTGAAACAGAGCGGGGGTGGGGGTGGGGGTGGTGGTGGTGGTGGTGGTGGTGGTGGTGGTGGTGTGTGCAGAACTGTGATGATAAAACGGTGCTCTCTTCACAAGAGGGGCTCCCCAGTGGCGCAGCGGTTGAGCGCTGGGTTGCGAAGCTGCCCGCAGCCTCTGTGGCGCCGGTTCGATCCCCGGCTGCTCCCCGGCCACCGGAGGAGGGTCCCACATGGCGCGCAGACCTCTCCTGCCGCCCGCTGCTCCCCTCAGCAGTGTGCTTTGGTCCTTCTGCCTGCTCTGCTCCTCGCTCTGGCTCTGGTGAATTCTCTCACCCTCCCGCGCTTCTGACTGTACCCAGTGCTTGTATAGATAAATAAATCCTTAAAAAAAAAAAAAACAGACCCTGAAACCTAAAAAGAGGGGGACAGCCTGAGCCCCGCTAAGTGTCCAGGGCTGCGGTCCTATTCCCCCATGTGCTGACACCATGGTTGTGGCTGGGCTGCCTGGGGAGGGCCAGCTGTGTGGCATGTCTGTGAACCTGCTGGAACACACCTTGTTTGTGAATATTAACGGGCACTGTTAAAAATGAAAATCTGCTCAAAACAAAAAATAAACCCAAGGTCACAGCTAAGAACTCGGGCGTCTGAATTCTGGCATCTGGGCTGATGAGACCCAGTGGGAAATCGAGAGCCATGCTGGTAGCATGGGGCGGGGGGTTGCTTCTGAAAGATGAAAAAGATGATTCACCTCATCAGGGAAAAGATATTCAAAGGCTGGGCTTGATGAGCTCCCCTGAGGAGCAATCCCGGCTCTTCCGGCATCTGCACGTGCTGCCAAGCGTGGCCCTGGGAGGGCGCCGGCACCGGGCACCAGTGACAACACCAGCGGCAATGACCACCACCCAGGAGGGAGCCGTCCTGCCTCCCACCAGAGAACAGGACCCATCCAGCAGCTGCCTTCCCAGTAGCTAACAGCTTGCAGGAGCCAGAGAAGAGGGCAGACGGTTGGCTACAACAGCTCTCCCTTTCCTGAGCCACAATATCTCCTCGCCTGCTCAGGAGGACAAAATTCTCAAAGATGATGTCCAGGCAGAGCAGAAAAACAGCAGAATCCCATCCCCCAAACAAGGACAAATTAGCAAATTTCAGAGGAAAAAAAAATCTATTTCGGCGGGCCTCCTTGGTGGCGCAGCGGGTTGAGCAAAGTGCTGTGAGGCTTTCCGCAGCCTCTGCAGCACTGGTTCGATTCCTGGACAGCCAGGAAGATACCCACATGGCACGGCAGACCTCTCCTGCCTTGCCCACTGCTCCCCTCAGCAGTGTACTTCGGCCCATATGCCTGTTCTGCTCCCTGCTCTGTCTCTGGTGAATTCTCTCGCCCTCCCACATCTCTGGCCTGTACCCCAATGCTTTTATAAATAAATAAATCTTAAAAAAAAAAAAAAACACCTACTTAGACAACATGTCCGCTCATGGGGCAGCGATTACTCACACAAATGACTTGTGCAGCCAGAGATTTTTAAGGGTTGAATACTGTTATTTTATGAAATTGGCTGCAGAGGCACACAAGGGGAAATGGAGTCCTGCTTGCATTCAGACACGGAGGCAGGAAACGCATCACGAAGCGAAGCTGACAAACCCTTGCTGATCTCTCCTGTTCCATTCTCACATTACATGCCAAGCCAAGGGCAGCAGTGACCTTCGACACAGCCTCTGCCGGGCAGGTAGGAACGGTAGCTGCGAGCTAGATCCACTCCCCCAACTCAAAGGCCAAGCCATGGACACATCCTTAGGGAGGCAGCAGCAAATGTGGGTGGGTGGGGGCTGATCTCTGAGAGCACAGGATCCCAAGCACAGGACAAAGGTCCCTGGTGACTGTAGGTGAAGACTCACCTAGCATCCACATGCTGAACAATCTCTCTCCACTGTTTTATTCTGTGACAGCAAAAAACTGAACAATGATGTGTTTCATCAGAACACATTTATTTTATAAGTAACATTATGAAAACTTGTAAACTATGGAGAGAAAAGAACCTACTATACTGTGGGTGGGAATGTAGACTGGTCCAGCCCCCGTGGAAGTTGAGTATGGAGGGTTCTCAAAATATTCAAAATGGGTTTACCACATGAGTGGAATGAGCCATGGCACTCCCAGGTATCTACCCACAGAATGCAAAGATACTAATTTGAAGTGCACGCCTATGGCCTATGTGCACGCCTATGTGCACGCCTGTGGCCACTGCAGCACCATCTGCAATAGCCAGGTTATGGAACCAGCCAAGTGCCCAAAGAGAAATGAGTGGCTCAGGAAGATGTGGTCTATATACACGGTGGAATACTACTCAGCAGTAAAGAAGGTGAACTCTTGCAACAGTCTAGAGGGAACTGGAGGGGATTATGCTAAGCAAAATGAGTCAGAGGAAGAAAGGCAACTACTAGATGGTGTCACTTCTATGTGGAATACAGAAAGATGAAACAAAGGGTGAGATAAAGCCCAACCAATAACAAGCCCTATTATCTGACCACGGAATTAAAACTACCAGAGGGGGAGTAGAAGGGGGAGTACAGTGGGGAGGGGACCCAATGGACTGTGGTAGAAGACTGTGGGTGTCTGATGGTGGAGAAGGGGGTGAATTCTAATGACTCATTCAGGAAGAAATACTTACCTCCTTATTCAAAATTTTAAATTAAACTAGAGCAGCTGTTCAAATATTCTTCGGTATCTAGGTGCATGGAATGCATAGCACTTTTTGTAAACTATCTAAAACACTAATCAAGCTTCAAAACTACTAAATAAATCATTTCTGCAAAATCAGACCCCTTTCTTACACTAGATTTTAATATAAAAGTGATACCTCAGAAAATTCCTTGGTGGGGCTGAGGGAATGACCCACTGGTGTTAGTAGCAAATCTGAGTTCAGGGCCTCCCTGGTGGCATGAGGGGTTAAGACGCAACCAATGAAGTTTTCCACAGCCACTGAAGCACGAGTTCAATCCCCGGCCAGGGAGCTACCCATATGGGACAGCAGACCTCTCCTGACTCACCTGCTGTTCCCCTCAGCAGTGTACTTCAGTAGATCTGCCTGTTCTATTCCCCACTCTGTGTCTGGTGAATCCTCTCACCCCCCTCCACCACACCTCTGGCCTGTACCCCAGTTCTTATATGTATAAATAAATATTTTTTTAAAAAACAGAGTTCAGAATCCAGCTCTGAAGCACACTTGAAGGAGCACTAAACCAGTGAGCTACAAGTCACCCACATGTGTATGTGCAATCTAAATGAATTCAGCACCAAAAAAAAAAAAAAAAAAAAAGTCTCCTCTCCAACCTGTTTGCCATCTGCCTTTAGAAAATACAGATTTGGCTAAGCAGGGGGCAGGTGGGCCCTGAAGGTAACAGGACCCTTGTTCTGATCCCGTTCTTACCCATTCCAAGGCTTAGCATCTTTTTGGGTCCCACCTGGCTCCCCTCCTGACTTTTCCAGCTCCTCAGATACCCTCTGATGTGGGGTTCTCTGAAGCACCGGGACTCCCGTGCTGGCAGGTGATGGCTCAGTTCTCTGCCCACAAGCAGAGTGCTTGCCACGCTGGCCCTGTGAACCTCTTGGGGTCCAGCAGCATTCCTGTCCTGTGACCAGTTTCTGAAAAAGCAACAGCTTTACCTCAAGAACTTTCTTTGTGTCTGTGGCCTTGCAGTATACGGGTGACTCTTAACAAGACTGGGGCTCCCGCGCTCAGAAGAGAGAGAGTGTGGGAGAACTTAGCCCAGGGGTCCGGAGAGTGACCAGGGGCATCCAGGGAGACGGGCAGCAGGCCCAGCTAAGTCAAGAAAGAACACTGACTTGTGAACACTGGGAACTGGTCCCTCCCTCCTTTCCCTCCAGCTCCCTTTCCTTCATTTTCCCCCCCAAATATACTAGAAGGTATTTCGGCATATATCTACCAGCACACATGCTTTGTCACATCGATTTTCATGATAATCTCACTTTGTATACATTTTCCACCCTTATAAATGTAAAGTGGCACAAAATTTTAAAAAGAAGCCTCTGAAAAGTATATTGTCATTCATCCCCTGCTCATGGATTGGAAGAATAAACATTATTAAAATGGCCATCCTACCAAAAGCAATATACAGATTCAATGCTATTCCAATCAAAATCTCAATGGCATTCTTCAAAGAAATAGAACAATTATTGATGAAATTCATATGGAATCACCAAAAACCCCGAATAGCCAAAGCTCTACTGAAAAAAAAAGAAGGAAATGGAGGCATCACACTCCCAGACTTCAAACTATACTACAAAGCCATAATCATCAAAACTGCATGGTATTGGAACAAGAACAGACATACAGACCAATGGAATCGAATAGAAAATCCAGAAATAAACCCACAGATTTATGGTCAACTAATCTTTGACAAAGGAGCAAAGACTATGCATTGGAGCAAAGAAAGTTTGTTCAATAAATGGTGCTGGGAAAACTGGGTCGCTACATGCAAAAGAATGAAGCTTGACCACTACCTCACACCATACACAAAAATCAACTCAAAATGGATTAAAGAACTAGACATAAGACCTGAAACCATAAAATACATAGAAGGAAATATAGGCGAAACACTACGGGATTTGCACATCAAAGACATCTTTACAGACACATCACCCAAAGCAGTGATAGTGAAGAGAAAGATAAACAGCTGGGACTACATCAAATTAAAGAGCTTCTGCACAGCAAAAGAGACAATAACAAAAACAAAGAGAAACCCCACCAACTGGGAGAACATTTTTGCACCCAACACTAATGATAAAGGACTGATCACAAAAATCTGCAAAGAGCTGATGAGACTCAGCAACAACAAAGAAAATACTCCAGTCAAAAAATGGGCAGAAGAGCTAAAAAGAAACTTCTCTGAAGAGGAAATGCAAATGGCCAACAGACATATGAAAAAATGTTCAACATCACTTGTAATCAGGGAAATGCAAATCAAAACTACCATGAGATACCATCTCACACCAGTGAGAATGGCACATATTAAAAAAACTAGCAACAACAAATGTTGGCGAGGATGTGGAGAAAAAGGAACTCTTGTGCACTGTTGGTGGGAGTGCAAACTGGTCCAACCACTATGGAGAGCTGTGTGGAGATTTCTGGACCTACTAAACATAGAGATTCCATATGATCCAGCAATTCCACTCCTAGGTATTTACCCAAAGGACACAGAAACATCAATTCCAAAGAGCACCTGCACTCCTATGTTTATAGCAGCACTGTTTACAATAGCTAAGCTTTGGAAACAACCCAAATGCCCAAAAATAGATGACTGGATCAAGAAGATGTGGTACATATATACCATGGAATATTACTCAGCATTCAAAAAAGATAAACACATGCAATTTGCAGCAACATGGATGGCACTGGAAGGGATCATGCTCAGCGAAATAAGCCAAAAAGAAAAAGAAAAATACCGGATGGTCTCACTCATAGCAGGAATCTAGAAAACTTAAATAAGGGACCAGGAAATGAATATAAGAAAGTGAAAATCAAAATCAACAAAAAACTATGAACCAGAGACACTTGTTGGGGGTGGGGGGCGGGAGGGGAAGGATTGGGGTCAGAATGGGGCGCTTGCAATTGTATGGGGGAATATAAAAATAAAATTTAATATTAAAAAAAAAAAAAAAGTATATTGTCATATTCAAATTATAACCCTAATTCTTACAAGGGGGAAGCTCAAAGGAGAAAGGAAAGAAAGCACGTCTTACCATAGAGAGGAGCAAAGGTGAGGTAGTTCAGGTGGCAAATGTTATAGGCTTCAATGCTGACGTCTTTCCAGATGCCTTGGGTAGGGAAGGAAGGGCCCCAGTCCCAGCTGAAGGAACACTGCTCCTGCAGTTGAGGGGCAAGTAGATTCTGGTTACCATAAAACTTAAAACACTACGAAAAGCCTTTAAAATGGGAAGGCTGTCCTGCGCATGTGCGAGGGCTGCCTTCGCACAGCCTCAGAGTCGGCAGCGCCTTACCCCTCCGCCCAGAGGAGGGGCAGCAGGAGTGGCTGCTTCTGAAGCCTCCTCCTCCCTGGGGCCCGGCATCCTGCAGCCTGGGATGTCCAGATGTCATTCTCAGAAGGACGCTGTCACATCGTATCAGCTCACACCCAAATTAAGTCTCATTTTAACTCAACTGCCCACTTGAAAGCCCTTACCTACAAGCAGGGTTACATTCTGAGGGCTTCAACATACAGATGGGGAGAGGGGAGGGTTTTTATACAGTTCAACCCGAGTGTGTGTGTGTGTGTGTGTGTGTGTGTGCCTTCACGCCCTGCGGCCCCCTCCCCTTTAGGGTGGCTGGGCCAGGTGGGTCGCTTCCAAACAACAACAGCATAGGAGCTAGCACTTCCAGAACCAGGTGAGAAAACACACCACCTTCTCAGCTGTCAACCAGCAGGGGCAAGCCTGAATAGCCCCTGCAGGTGCGTCCACCCAGATGAGGCGCAGTGCCCAGCCTGGCTACCAGCACAGCGACGGCTTCCTGAGCAGGACATAGCCAAGCCATGCCTGGATTCACGACTGCAGAAAGTAGTGACAAATGTGGTTTTAAGCAGAAAATGTGACGACGTGTATCAAAGCCAAAGATAACTAATATCGAAACTAGCATCTGAACCTGTGTGACAAGGGTGAATTTGGCAGAAATGTTCTACGAACACAAAATCTAACTGTGGACATTTACTTTTCAAAATACAAAATGACAATGAGCAACATGGCAGTTACCCTCCACATTTCTCCAGCACATCTCTAGGCCTGGGTGGCATGGGCAGCGATAGCTACACACACCCATGTTCTACTAAGAATATTCTACTCAAATGCAATAACCTAAAGAATGAGGAGATGTTTGTGAACAGGTTTAAGGAACTCTGGTGAGACAGGCCAACTGCCAGCTCCCTTCTTCCAGCAATGACTCGGAAGTCCTTGCTTCTGAACCAAGAGCCCCAAACAAGAGTTCAAGATGATGCAGACCCCAGGGTGGGCGCAACGCCAGACACTCTGCCGCCTGCCTCCCGACTGTTCCGCAGCCGCTCCATGTCCCTATCACTTACGAAGGTTCCAGTCCCAAGCAGGTGATGAGTCCCTTAAAATAAACATCTTACAGCGTTACTTTTCTAAGTTCGACTGCAGAGAAAAATTATTATCAAAATCCGCTTAATTAAGTTGTAGGAGGAGGCAAGCTCACTGGGTGCGGCCAAAGCCCAGCCCACACACTGAAGTCCTCACCCAGAGACATGGGTAGAGCAGGCCTGAGTCCGGCCAAGCCTTCTGCCAGGCTCTGACTTATCAAAGACAGAGATAAATGGACAGAAACCAAGAGCTACACCCATTCCACTGAAATCGCCAGGGACCATCTGGGTCTTCCGTCAGAACCCAAACCCTCGGGGGCAGTTTGCGGGAGCGTGCGTAAGTACAGAGGCGCGGTTCCACCAGGAAGCGGGAGACACATTCAGCATGTTACATGGCCAGTGACCTTCCCTGTCAAGGGCCACAGGTCTCTCCTGTTGACACAACTCTGCAGATAAAGGTTTTCACTTGCTCAGAGAATTCCTGCATTGCGCTCTCTGCTCCACAGTGGGGGACCTCCCACCAGGGCACCACACACCTGGTCCTCTCTGCCCACAGGCCCCGGGAAAGCCAGAGAGTCAGGTGTCAATGAAATAGTGACAATCACGAAGAGTTTCAGAGGGAATGGGGAACACAGAGTGGGAGGATGGGCGGGGGTGTCGAGACAAGGTTTCCTGAAAAACAGTGCCTTTTACACGGAGAGATGGGGTGAGACTGCCTGCCCAGCGTCTGGGGGAGAGAGTGAAGCACCCTTTTCAGAAGGAACAACTTGCACAGAGCTCCAGGTGCAGGGAGCTGAGGGAGAACGAGGGCAGAGGGGCAGGAGGCCGTAGGCAAGGGCAGCGCCAGGACCCTGCACTGCAGTCTGAAGGCAGCGAGAAAGGGAACAGCTCTGGATGCTCCCTGTCTGAAAAGAACATTCTGGGAAAATGAGTAGAAGAGGCAAAGGAGGTTGGAGGGCTGCCACCTAGGCGGCAAGGCATTATTCCACGCAAGAGACGCTGGCAGGCCGAACTCCAGACAGGCAGCAGAAGCAGAGTGGGAGATGCAAGAACTGGGAAGGGGCAACATCCACCTCACCTAAAGGAGCTGGTGACGGAGGGAGGAAAGAGGGGGGTCCAGAGTGACTCGCGTTTCTGCAGGAGCCACTGCTGTAGGTACCCCCATCAGCAGGATGGGGAGCCCTGGGGGAAGGGACAGACTGACCTTTGGGGCCTGGGAACAGACAGGACAGACGCCGAATGGGCAATCAAGAGAAAGGCTGGCACCCTGAAGCCGTGTGAAGTGAAGACAACATGCCGGAGGGACGGGCAACTCCATGGGTTACTGAAGGCGGCAGGACAGATGAGAGAGGGAGGAGGGCGTGCGAGGACAGAGGGGCCTGAGCACCAGGACTCTGCAGAGCAGCGCGGCCAGGATGGTGGTGGCAAACGGGAGACGGTGCAGACTTACAAAGAGCTGGACAGGGTCCGCCATGAAAGATGGACAGAGGAGGCAGAGGCCAGAGGGGGCTCATGTTGGATGAGGAGCTGGAGGGGGCTGAGACTAGGGAGAGCGACATCCTGCCTTATGGCCTCCCTTCTCCACCCACTGACGTCAGAGAAGCCACACATGGGTGTCTGCCCTTCGCCCACTTCAAGCCTATGTGGCACAGCAACAGACACCCCTCCACCTCCATGTTCTGGATGGCTGTGGGGCACCTTGGGATGCAAAGAGCTCCAACCCTGTCTTTCCAATGGCTCCTCCTATCAACACCAGCAAGAAGGAGTGGGAGGGATTAGCTAAATACAAAAGATGAGGAGGCCCAAGAGCACAGATTTCAGAGCCAAGATCCCTGCTGTGGGCCCGCCCACCAGGCCATGTCAACATAGCCAGTAACACCACACACAGCTCACTGTGCCAACTGCTCTGCACCCGAGCTGGTGCTCTACCACAGCTGGCTGCTGCAACCTGGGTCCGACTCCAGATTTCAGCGACAAAGGACTTGTTTCTACCTGGATAACCTGGAAATGTACTCTAAATGTTGCCAACTGAATGAGGGTGGAGGGGGATATACTACATGGATGTATGTGTAACACATTTTTTTTTTTAAGATTTATTTATTCATGCATACAAGAACCGGGACAAGGGCCAGATGCACAGGAGGGTGAGAGGATTCACCAGAGACAGAGCGGGGAACAGAACAGGCAGACCCAGTGAAATACACTGCTGAGGGGAGCAGCAGGCGAGACAGGCGAGGTCTGCCGAGCCCTGTGGGATTCTCGCCGGCCGGGATCAAACCCGTACTGCAGAGGCTGCGGACAGCTTCACAGCGCTGTGCTCAGCCGTTTGCGCCACCAGGGGAGGCCCCGACACATATACTTTTACTGACGACCTGAAAAGTCAACTTTTCACGTTAGGATCCAGAAAGTCCTGCTTTTGACAGAAGCTCAACTATGGAAAAGGAGAGGGAGAAAGCGCAACCTCTAGTACCCACACCAGCACACATGTGAGGCTGAGGCAGGAACACAGGGACTCTTCACACAGCAGAGTGAGCACGAAACCCTCAGTGGAGGCTCTCCTGCCCCCAAAGCAACACCCCAACACTACCCAGTTACCGTAGACCAAGCTAACTGCCGCTAAGGCGCTGGCACAGATTCAGCGAGGGTAAACACAAAGGAGCAGGTGTCCAAGCTCTTACATAAGCCTTAAGATAACCACCTAAACCATCAGAGCGAGTGAGATGAGGGTGCAGCTAAAGGGTGCTGAGAAAATACCCTTCTCTTCACAGTGTAACAAATAATTACTTTGTTGTTTCAAGTAATTGCCACATCCTCCAAAAATGGAAAGTGGAATTACCAGGTTATCTAGTAATCCCACTTCTAGGTACACATCCAAAGGAACTGAAAGTGGGGTCTCAGAGATATCTGTACATACATACTAAGCAACATCACTCACCACAGCCACCAAGTGCAAACACCCCCGGAGCCCACTGTCAGACAAGGGGCAGCAGACAAAATGTGGCATGCGTAGACAGTGGAATATTAGTCACTGTTAAAAAAGGGAGTCCTGTCGTGTGCTATAGAATGGATGGACCTTCAGGGCCTCATGCTAAATGAAGCAAGCCAGACACAGTAAGACAATACCCAGTGACCCACTTACAAGTGGTGTTGGGAGGGCGTACTCATAGAAACAGCAAGAATGGTGGTTGCGGGGAAGGGGAGTGAGGAGATGCCATTGAACAGGAATAGGGTTTCAGTTTTAAAGAAACCTGTTTCACAATAACAGGCCTGCACTTAATAACCTCTGCACTGTACAGTTAAAAGAGCTTATGAGGGTAAATTTTGTGTTACCTGCATTTTACCACAATTAACTTTTTAATATCAAAAAATAGAAAAATAAATGCCTCATAGGATATTTTTGTAACCATGGATTGGAATAATCCCAAGTCATGCAGATGGAACCAAAGAAAAACCATGTTCTTTGTGGGCTTTGTTATCTTTTTGTTTGATCTTTATGAGACCCTAGCAGTAAAACGTAAGAATAGGACAGGAAATACATTAATATTTGCAGGAGGCTTCCTAGTAATAAGCGAACCTTACAGTTTGGTGAAAAGAAGGGGAAGAAGAACATTACATGACAAGTCACTGACATCTTTTTCTATTACCTAAGTTAAGCAGTGTGCTTCAGGGAGGAAACCCAGAAAGACAAGGTTCTCCAGAAAAAGTTCACAGAATGTTTTGGCTGTTACCCCAGTGTTCATATCCCTCGAAGGGTATGGGACAGAGACGCCCTCCGTTCGGGGCTCGCCCATCCTCAGGCTAATGCCCCGTGTGGGGAGACCCTTACCTTGCGCACAAAGTTGACGTGGCACTCGCCCTTCTGCACAGTCGGGGGACAGGCGGGGGGCACCTGGTAGCTGGTGTGGGCCGCGCTTCGCTGGGCCGCGTACAGCACAGGGGACTGGAACTGCAGCTCCACCCGGTTCTCAGCCCGGAGCAGCCTGGTGATGTCGAAGCTCTGGGGGAGAGAAGGACAGGTGTGGGAGATGTCCGCACCTTGATGTCGGCAAGGGTGGCAAAGGCACCCCCAGTCGCCAACATCTTCAGCAGGCAAAGCTCTGCTCAGAAACAGAACAAAGTCATCCTTCTCTTACAGCCAAGCCTGTTCTCTGGCCCAGGCCTACGTTTCTGGGTTTCTCCTATTTTTACTGACAAATGACAGGCCCAGGCAAACAGAGCAGGTGGGACATGTCTTTGGCCCTGGAGTGTCTGCCCTGCCTGTTCACACATGGCCTTGGCCTGCCTGCGGTCTGCTCAACATTCCAGGTCAACCTGACCCTCCTGAGTGGAGGGCATTTCTACAAGTCACAAGCTACTTTTGTTCTGAAAAGTCTACCCTTTAAAAGAAGGGATGGAGATATCTTAGGTGATTATTCCAGAAAAAAAGGAACATTTTCTCTTGTTTTTACTTTTTTTGTTCTTTTTTTTTAAAAAAAATTGTATTATTCCCTATTAAGGTAACACTGGTCTGCAACACTGTGTAATTTAGGGGCACAGGCTCACTCCCCTCACTCCCCTTCAGATGGATGTTTCAACACCACATCCACCCACAATGCACCCACAGTCCTCGACCATAGCCCATTCAGCCCCTCTCCACCTTGTTCGCTCCCTCTATGGCAGCCTCAGTTCTGCAGTCAGATTTCTAGCCTGTGCTTCAGTTTAGTTTTGTCTGGAATGTTCTAAAACTGCTGATCCGTTGTCGATTCCTATGAAACCAGGACTGAACAGACGGGATAGGGATTAAGGGAGTGCTGGGTGTGCTGGGAGCTGGGCCCACACCTTAACACCAGCCTAGGGGATCCCTCAGGAACTCCGTGGGGCTCCCAGTGTTCTCAACATCCTACAGATGTGGCCACCAAGAAGCCAAGCATCTAATCAGAGCTTCAAAGAGCTTGTGGTGCCTGCATCGTAAGGGTGCCCCGGACACACATGCGCCTGAGGGGCTCCATACTTACGTATCTATCAAACATGTTGTCTGTTTTCCCGATGGTAATGTTATTCAGCAGGATTTTGGAAACTGTGTCAACTCCTTCGAAAATCATAATCACTTTTTGCCATTCACTAAAAAAATAAAAAATAAAAAAAAACAAAGATTTTTAAAAGATGTATGAAACATGAGGTTAGATAACTTATCTTTAGTAAGAACGGAAGGAATATACATTTCACAAAGAAAAAAGGTTTTGTGTATGTAGTTCACAGGACAGCTTAAAGGCCAATGAAATTTTCCTACGTATTGCTTAATACATTTCTATGCTGAATAATCCAACCTATCTTTCGTCATAACAAACACCACAAAAATCATGAGCCCAACATATAATTTCTGACTGCATCTACATATTTTCTAGAACTTCACAAAGTTCCTATAAGGACCAAGTCAAAGAACAGACACCCGAAGCTCTCGCCAGTGCTTACCCTTGGCGACACTATGGAAGAGAAGGCATTAGCCCCTACCACGGGCCCTGTGCTCCAGTAAGCCCCGCAGGGAGCTCAGCAGTCTCTGCGTGGTGTTCAAACCCAAACACACAAAGAGAAAACTCTGAATGCCTGACTGTGCAGTACGGAATTGGTGGACTCCCTACAAGAGTTCTGGCCTTTGTCACAAGGGAAGACTCAAGGAGGAAACAGCAACTTACAGAAGAATATGAATGAAATAGAGCACGTAAGATACGCTGCATGGGTATAGCCACAGGGTAAGATGTCATTCAACAAGATCAAGAACGAGGTTGCTAAGTGACGACACAAATGAGCTTTGAGTAGAAGCCGGTGGCAAGGGACCAAGCACTGTGAGGCCCATGCATATGAGATTTGCAGAAGAAACAAATACAGAGAAGAGGCCTGAGTCGAGAGAAATGTTAGGCAAAAATTAACCAAACTCGGAGAGAACGAACACAGGAGGATGAGCTGAGGAGATGGAAATGGCGCTCCACTGGAAAAACACAAGGAGTCAGAACATAAAGGAAACTTTCAGTGGGATTTGCTGAGTACAAGGTGACACAGGGCTGCCAGTGGCGGCTTTAGGTCTTATCTGGAAACAGCAGCTTGGAGCACATAACTGCATGATGTTCAGCCAGTCTTTTGGCTTCTTTCTCTGAACAGTCTAGGAAATAATCACCAAAAAATCATACAAAAGGGAACAGGAAGTTTTTTTGTGCTTAGCAATAATGGTGGGCGATATGACTGGGAACGTTCTGCCTTGTGTGGAAACAGCTGCGGAGAATGACACACACATTCCTGAAAACTGTGCCTGGGGTTTTTCTCCCGGCCGCTCACCATGACATCAGGCCAGGCCATCACCTCGACGGCTGGCTACCACCACAGATGACCTACGTCTGTTCCCACTTGACAATACTGTAAATGCACATCCACTACTGAGCATGGGGGTGGCCCGGAGGAAATGGAGATGAGAACGCTAACTTGCTTTACGGGACTATTAAAACCACCAGAAAAACGAAGCAAGGAGACAACTGTGTGAAATGAAGTGGCCTCCCCAAGGACAGTTCAGGACACAAGCCCACATTCACTTCCCAGCACGAGGCTGCAATCTGCTTGTCTCTGATGTGCAACTTAAACAAATAAAAAAGTATTGCTTAGAAAAAGGAGATTGGCTGGAATACATACCTAAGGTTAAAGGGGATTTTAAACTCCTTGCTATAGGTCCAGTTATCCCAGGAGATCCATCTGTACTTGAGGTCATTGAATCTATAATAAGGATCCTGTTGGTAAAAAAATTAGGGTAGATGCTTAAATGCACAAAAATAAAAGAACTTCATTAATGATAAACACCTAAATTTAGCGAACTCCTGGCCTGAAAGTATCATCACTGCCTCCGCCAGCACAGCTTGCCCTAAAGGCTAATAGCCCATCTACTCACAGACTGTCACCTGAACAGAGTCGATGTGGTTTTCACAAGCTCAAAAATACTAAAAAAAAGGTTTATTTTAAAAAATCCAAATATCAGAAATAAAGATACTCTAGGATGTAAATAATATAACGCCATTATCCGTGAACACGTGTGGAAATTAAGGCAGTCGTCCCTTGGTGCACCCGATGAGGGATTTCCGAGGGATCAGCAGGGTGTGACACTGGGTACCCCTGAGCTCCTCACAGAGCAGCAAACACCACTCCTCGGGCCGCGTAGAATTTCCAAAGTTTCTCTCCACTCAGGTTTACTACGTGGGCAAAAAGGAACTCCAGAGAGAACACACAGGCAGCCCAGGCACCGTCAGACACACAAACCAAAGGCTTCCTCCATCATCCTAGATGCACTCAAGCGCCGAACGCGCTCTCGGCTGCCTCCGCGTGAGCCGAGAACAGAGGTGTCCATAAAGGCAGGTTCCAGGCTACTGAGGGAGAAGCAAGTCAAAACCACAGGGAGACATCACCTCACAGCTGCGAGAAGTCCGTTAAAAAGACCGACAAGTGCTGGGAGGAGGTAGAGAAAGAGGAGCTAGTCACGCTGTTGGTGTGAACGTGCAGTGGAGCAGCCAGAGGAAGAGGGATATGGGTTCACCTCCAAGAACTAAAATGGGAGCACAATATGGCCCAGACCCCCACTGCTGGCCCTTCATCAGGAGACCACGAACCAGTGACTCAAAACCAGCAGTTCTACAGTGTTTACTGCAGCCTTCCTGCAACGGCCAGGGCCCGGAAGCAGTCTCAGGATACTGGACAGGACACCACAAGACGGGTCTGTCCACACCGCGGAACACCAGCCGGTCGGGAGGAGAAAGGAAATGCTGCCACTTACAGCCTAGTGGAGGGGTGCCCGAGGCCAGGTGAAGTGAAGCAAGTCACACAAAGACAAGTGCGGGGCGATTCACACACACGAGGAAAGGAAGGAATGGAAGCAGGTGAACTGACAAAGCGAAACGACCGTCGCCTGGCAGGCTCCAACGCAGCGAGGCTTCCGAGGATGGGGTGGACTAGGCCCCAAGGGGTAGGGATGGCAGAAGAGACTGGCCAAGGCGCAGTGGACACGGGCGCAGCGGCAGACACGGGAGAGACCACCGGCCCAGAAGGCCACGGACGGTCCCCCCGGCCCCTTGCTGCAGAGCCTCCAACCTCTGTGACCTCTGCCGACTCTGCCCCGGGGTTCCCAGGTGCTGCTCAGTGTCCGTGTCCTCCTTTTCATGGTGCTTAGGTCCTTCTTTCCCACCCGCGGTCCACCGTCCACCTCCCCGATGAGGGCCCCCAGACAGAACAGAAAGTCCTGGTCACGACTGTGGCCAAGACCAGCTTGGGGAGGGAGCACCGCCAAACACGTCCCCAGCTGGGACAGACAGCCGGGCTCCCCAGGGCCCCCACTCACATGGGGAACGGAGGTAACCCTGCGCATCCACGGAGCAGGGCTGGAGGGCCGGCTGGATGGCATATGTCCTCTACCCGGCACCAGCCAGCACACAGGAGTGTCACTGCAACAAGAAAGGCAGCTCAGGAAGGTTCGACTGGAAGAAATCTGTGACAAGCTGCGAGGGGCAGGGTAGCTAACAGCAGACAGACACCAAACTGACCCTGCTTAGAGTGAGGTTCTGCTCTGCTAAACAGGGTGTGCCCGGCTGGGCAACTTGCTTCCTTCTCTGTTTTTCACACATGCACAGAGGCACAAAGACTCACCCCAGCCCTAGGAGCAGTGACTGTCACTGGCGACAGCTGGTTGCATAGGGCCTGGGGCTCTCACGCGCCCCTGTGCCTGACAAGCCCACGCAGAAGAGATGAAAGCTCTGAAGACGAAGGTCCCAGAAGGAAGAGGAAGCACAGCCAGGAGTGAACCGACTCAGCCCAAGGCCAGGCTGAGGCCGCTCACACAGGCTCCGTCCTGTGTCCCGGCCACCGCTGTGTCCAGGTGTGGGGCCACTGGCCTCCCACTCACTGGCCAACATGCCCAGGCACGAAGCCACGCAGCTCATCCACTCCCCACCGGCACCTCCAGCAGAGCCGTGGCCACCCGCAGACACCACCCCAGAGGCAGAGCCCGGCCACCATGTATGCAGTGCCTGAGCCAGGCACCAACAAGTGACCCTCACGCTCACTCACTGTCCCCGACACACCACAAGGCCGCAGCGCACGTCACTGACTGGGACCTCTCGCTGAGAACAGATGAGTAGCCAGGTCCAGCCCACCCAGTCCCCAGTGCAGTTCAGAGCAGTGCCTGGCCCCACCCCAGAGGGAAGGACTCAGGTGGAGCTCGACGAGGAAAAGAAAGTCCTTTCAGCTATTGCATTTAAAGGCCTGGTTTTCTTGGACACTTAGGGGGGGAAAGCTTAACATTTACTCTAAAACAAGCAAAACTGAACAATGTTTAGATAAGGATCTGGAGATGTTTGGTAGAAAGCAGGACTGTTCAGGACGGGGTTCCCTTTGGAGGCAGCCAGTGAAGGTACCAGAATGTGCAGCCTCACAAATTGGATGGGGATGGGGTTCTTTTAATAATTAAGATTGCAAAATTCAAAAACATGTGTGCCTAGAACCTTCCATTTATCAAGGACTATATAATAAAAAGGGAGGAAAAGGGCATGGGAGCTAAGGCCCCCTAAATCACAGGGGCTTATGGCTTGCAGCCTGGAGACTTGTCTCTCCACCCTCCAGCATCCCCCAACTTCACCGCCCTCCTTCCCCCAGAGGGGCTGCCGCAGGGAGCACCCACGCCATGAGTCAGTCGGACACCGTGGCAACCTGATCATCTCCTCCCAAAATCCTTAAGTCAGTAACCCTGCTTCCCAGATACAGGGGAGGAACACTTAAATGTTAAGCTTTTCCAGTTTTAGAAGACCTCTTTTTAACTGACCACAAAGGATTCAAAAAGAGAATCATAAGACCACACAGACCATTTTCTCAGGCACTGCTAAGTGCCAGGCTACATCTCTGAAAGATGGGGCTGCGTGCCAGGAGCGAGTCTCCCAGCGAGCTGAAGGGTGGGTGAGACCACAGCTGGCAGGCAGTGGGTGGGCGGGTGCATGGTCCATGGAAGGAGGCCACCCTGGAAACAGGGCAGGGCTGGGGGGTGCTGGCAGGTAGAGCCAGGTAGGGATAATCTGTTTGTTGTGGGTTCAAGTCCCAGTTCAGTCCTAAAACCTGTGATGCTCTAATAACATCTAATACTGTTTGCTCAGTTCTAGAATGGGGGTAATGACAGAGTCTCCAGGATCAGCCTGAAATTTGCAAGAGAGCCCAGAATGCTTCAGGTCATGTGGCGAGCACTCAATTAGTAAGAGCTTCTGCTACCATTGTACGTACTGATGTGACACGGGTCTAAGATGTGTTAGGATAAAGGAAAACGTCAGTGGCAAAAAATACGCTTGTACAGAACACATCAAAAACATTTATGGGAGGGCCTCCCTGGTGGCACAGGCGGTTGAGTGCAGCACTATGACGACGTCCGCAGCCTCTGCAGTGAGGGTTCGATTCCCGGCTGGCCAGGGAGATTCCTCTCCTGTCTCCCTGCTATTCCACTCAGCAGTGCTTTTGGTCCATCTGCCTGTTCGGTTCCCTGCTCTGTCTCTGGTGAATCCTCTCACCCTGTACCCCTGGCCTGTACCCCAGCTCTTGTATAAGTAAATAAATCTTTAAAAAAAAAAAATCTATGGGAGAAAACTTTGGTTAACAGTGACTGATTCTGTGCCAGGAACTGGCAAACCAGGAGACAGGACAGGAAGGAGACTCCTCATTCATTATACATCCTTAAATGTTCCTATTATTATATCCTTTACCTGTTCCTAAAAGTCATTAAAATTAACTGACTTCTGGGCCTCCCCTGGTGGCGCAGCGGTTGAGCGCTGGGCTGCGAAGCTATCTGCAGCCTCTGCAGTGCCGGTTCGATCCCCGGCTGCCGGTGAGGTTCCCACATGGCGTGACAGACCTCTCCTGTCGTGCCCGCTGCTCCCCTCAGCAGTGTATTTCATCACTCTGCCTGTTCTGCTCCCCACTCTGGCCCTGGTGAATTCTCTCACCGTCCTGCACTTCTGACTGTACCCAGTGCTTGCACAAATAAATAAATAAATAAATAAATAAATAAATAAATAAATAAAATCTTTAAAAAAAAAAATTAACTGACTTCTTTTTACAAAAAAGAAACACCATGTCTAATAGGAGAGATGAGGAGGCAGGATGGTTATAAGACTGAACTACAAGACTCAACAACCAACAATAAAAGAGAGAAGGAAAAAACAAAATGGCACTGAACTCCCAGGCCTGGTGACTAAGGAAGTACTGCAGTTTTTATAAAAAACAGGCAAAAATGAGAGACACTGGGGGCTGGAGAAGGGGACAATGGACACCTGGGTATCGCATGCCACGCAGACATTGGTGAGGGTCAGAGGCATGAGCGGGCCCGTCCCCGGCACATGTCAGGAGGGGACGCAACACAGAGCACTCCAGGCAGTTGAGCAGAGACACTGGCCGCAACTGAGGGGCCCAAAGAAAGAAACTGGCAGGGTCTTGTGGAGAGGGGCCTCTGGGAGGGCTGCACTGGGTGGGTGTCCTGGCAGTGACACCCCATGCTCTTGTCAACTCTCACTAACGTGTTTACCTGAAAACATGGCTTCTTCCCTCCCTGACTCTATCCTCCTGGCCCACAGGCAGCGTGGGATGATGAACACTGGCCCGTCCTGGCCCCACGGTTCAGTGCACACCAGGCCTGCGGCCCTACCTGCTATGAGCCGCAGCTGTACAATCCCTTCCGCCACCGGGAGGCCTGGGGTTACACCAATAGAGCACC